CCCCAAAACCCCAAAACCCCAAAACCCCAAAACCCCAGAATTTATAATTTCAGTTGATAAATTTAAATTTTTAAATCTTTATGAAACAGGGCTGCATTTCTAAGTATCGACGAAAGTCTTCCACGCGTAAATTTTCAGGTAAATTTCAAAATAAAATTCTTAGTTAATTTATGTCTAGCATCGAAGGAAAGAAGGGAGATTAGTTCAGACCCGAAAAGTACAACAAAAGGGTTTGGTATTAAAGTTAAGAATAACTCTACTTATTCAAAATACTCCTTAAAAATGAAGCAGAAGACAAGTGGTCCTCTTCAGGTAATTGGTACGAAACATAAGAAATGTCGAGGAAAGCTCCATCCAAAAGGAGTTAATATTACTATTGAAAGAGAAAATTTTAACCCAAATCTTATTGAAAAATTTGATAGTTGTAGCTCGTTAGACTCTAAGAAGAGGTCTTCTTCATCAACACTTTCTCGACAAACAGGATCTTCCCAGTACCCGATGCAAGAGATGGTAGAGAATATGAAATAGGGAAATATCTCATGCCTATAGGAAAGCTAAACGAACCAAGGTATATCACTCATGACTCTTTTTAGTACCAAAAGCAACCCAAAAAGGGTGACTTCGAGATTTTACTCCAACAGAACAATAGCCTAACCCAAAAATTACTCGAAGCCAACTGGGAAATAGAGAACAAGAAGAAAGAGAATCGTGAACTTAACCAACAACTAGAAAATTTCAAAACAGCTCAGGCTGAAATCCTCCAAGAAAAGCTAAAACAGATTGACACCTTAAAGAAACATCTGCTCAAGGTCTCTGAAGATGCTAAGAAGTGAGTACTTTCTAATCACCTTCTCTCTCATTAATCCTGTACTATCAACCTCTTCCAGGAAGTTTTTAAGAATTAAGCCAAAAGTTATTAACCATATCCCGCACAATATGGGTATCTGACCATCCTTGTAGGAAACGGAAGGATATGCATGAAGAAGACTCAGAGATATTTAATTATAAGCTGGAATTGGAGAAATATAAAGAGACTAATTTTACACTTCAATGAAGGTTGGATACCAACCTTGACCGGTTTAAACGTAAGTGATGGTGCTTTAAGATGCCAACTGTTCTTGTGCCTATGGGTTTGGACATTCGTTTAAGTATGGAGTAAATTACTGCTTTAGAATCTGAGAGAGAAGTCACTGACTTGAGGTGGGAGAATAGAGACTTAAAGAAAAAAATCATAATGCTTGAAGAAGATAATATTAAGATGCAAGTGAGAATTGATTCGGTTGAGAGAAATAATAAAGAAATGGGCAGTATTATTAACAATAAGCTTAACAATATGGCTGAGAAATATTGAGAAAAGGCAGAAGAACAGTTAAAACAAATGGATAAGAAAAGTAAATTTTGGAAGCCAAGTAAAGACCAGAATACTGATGATTTAATGAAAGAGAGCCAGGACAGAATTTCAAAAGTTAATGACATATGCACTCCTTTAGTTAACCAGAGCAATGACGTTCTCTTAACTAAGTCTTTGTGAGCCAAAGGCTCACAAAGCTCAAGAGCGTAGTTGATCTGCATTTTCAATATTTTTGTTTGGAAATGGGGTTTTGGGGTTTTGGGGTTTTGGGGAGAT